ATTTATTCTTGCTCGTATCTCATCATCCAGACCACCACCGCTTCGACGCCATCCTAGATATCTGAAGGAGACATCTTCGGTAAGCTTCACCATTAACGTGGATGGTACCATCGTATGCGTTGGTTTCCAGATATTCTGTCTTCTTGATGTTGAGGCGAAAACCATAGCGGCTCAGACGATCGTTCCACATCTGGACCTGACGTTGAAGTCCTATTCTTTTGACGTCTGATATCATATATATGATATCAGAAAGATATCATTAGCATAGAACAGGGTCAGCGGCGTTTATTTCGCAGGCCCGTGTGAGCACGTCCATGACGAGAATGGAAAGAAATGGCGAGAGTCATGATCTTTGAGGAACGCCTACGTTTATTGGGAAGCTACTTGATAATCCCTCGGTTTACTTTTGCCTTTTCTGTGTTATTTTTGTTAGTGCGCTGTACTGGTGTCTCTTTGTATTTGATTAATTGTTCCTGATGTTCTGTTTTTATGGAATGAACGCTTTGGAGGCTCTCGACAATGAATTCTAGGCCATAAGCCGGACGCCTTCTTAGTCCATTGTATTAACTGCAGCACATCTAAAAAGTGAAAAAACAAAAATACTCGTGGAAGCTCGGAAATAAGGCGCATGGCAACCCCTAAAGGCCCACGTACAGTGTGACATCGCACCGATAGTGAGCGCTGAATCTCGAGCATTTGTTGCTTGGAGTGTTGTTGGAGGTTATTGCACAACAGCTGATGCTGCCTTTACTTTATGTTCTGCATTTGTTTGGGTGATTCTCTCGTTCTTTCGTCATTTTTGATTTACTCGTGCATGAAACAGTCAAAAAAGGCAATATGTTTGGTTGTCACATATTGTTTGTTGCATTACTAATTTGAGATTTGCTAATATGGAGCGGTTTCCACAGTGTAGAATTTGTCGAAAAACACGGCTTCTGCTAGCAATCTTCACCTCCATCTGACAATCAATCTAATCAATAACAGAACAAGAACGCATACCAGGCATAGCCTAGTCATCCCTGTGATTCCGCAGTCTGTCCTTAAATATTACCCCCAAGAAATAAGTAGACTTTCTAGGCGTCGGGTGTAGGCCTGTCGAGGCGTACCGTATAAGTGAACTTCGCGGCAAACATGCATGTAGTAAAACACACGTCATACATGTAGTAAAATTAGTGTTACCTTCAAAGGGTCGTAAGATTACTACGCTCACTAATAGGTACCATTTACGCCTACTGTGTTTGCAGAACCCTGTATAGCGAGAACGTTGACCAGTTCTGACATCTGCAGGGCGACAGCACCACTTTGAGCCTTGGCAAGAGTACCGAACAGGAGCAAGAAATTACTTGGCCGTGTATGAGTCGTATACCGAGGTGAGCTGAGGCGCTCTGGCGACCTACCTAAATTGCGGATGCTGGTGAACAGTGCGAATTTACTAATTCATCGAATCCTGAATAGGGTCCCGAAATAAACGGCATGGATCGTAAAATGTTAGAACCAGATTGATTCAATGCGAAAAAGGCCACGTCGAATCAACTAGACAAGAAAGCTGGTTTCGCCTACAGAAACGCTACGAGTCCTCTCCCTTCCGCCCTCCCCTCCCCCTATGAAAAAACTTCTTCACCCCTGCATAGCATGGTTACTGTCACGCTGTTCGATGGCGACAAAAATTTTTTGTTTGGAACCTCCAGAATTCACGACATTCGGTGGTTTTTACTACATCCTGAAGCAATTGTGAGGCCTACTCGTGACCTGTTGAGCCGCGTTCATACTTGTGACCGAGCAGTTGAGTCGCACGACTGCGACCGACCGCGCTCCACCGCTAATCGTTGGACTGTTGCAAGGCTCAGAAGAAAGATTGTCCTGAGCGCAACTGAGTTAGCAGTTGAATCGCGAGGTTGAATCGATCGAGTCGCGGGTATATAAACACCAGTCACCGTTGGTCGTATTTAGCGACGACTGATGGTGAAGCCTTCAGAAACACGAGTTACTCTCAACTTTATAACGAGATCTGAGTTATGGCCAAAAGTGACGCCCCAGGCGGGACTCGAATCCGTATCTCTCGCTGACCGGGCGAATGCGCTATCCATAATGTTAGGTTTCGGAGCGCGGACTGCAGCTCTTAAAGAGCACTTTTCTCAAGAACAGATCCCAAACTTCATAGTTTATATTTTAACACAGTATTCAACAGTACCGGTAGATATATAGCATCTGAGATAAGGGATATGTCACGAAACGAAATCGATCCAGCTCCTGCGACGGAGAAAAAAGCTGCGCAGATGGATGTTACTGATCACACGCACGGAAATTCAGTCAAGTAGATAAGCGAGAGAACAGAAACGGAAATATTCACATAATTGTAGTAAAAGGTACACTGAAAAAAGGACTAGATATAACAAGCGAAGCAGTAAGGCATCAGTAAGAGTAATTGAACTAATGACTATAACAGTTCGGCACATGATACAGCAGTAATAGTAGAGATACATCAACAGAACTGATCAATATGAAAAGGAGAGGAGCGACAAAATTGAAGATTCAGGCTCGAGCGAGGTCAAAAATGATCGGTGAGTCATCTTCGGCATCCATGGCTAGCACAGTGTCTACTTCGTAGATCTGCAAAAAATCATACAGTTCGTTCGTTATCAGAGATGCCAGTCGGCGTGTATTGGTGGAGCGTGAGATTTGGCGCGAAGCCAGCCCCTTTCTCACCACTAGCTGAACGCGCCAAGTCGCAATATATTTGGAAGTTATGGTGGCAAAAGCTATTCACCACTGGCACGCCCTGACTAACTTCAGTAAGATTTACTGTATTGCAAGATCTTCAAGCATACTACCTTCCAATGTTATCCAAAACGCTGACGACAATTCGTGGTGTCACAAGAATGCTGAGTTATGGGCAAAAGTTTTGGTCTTAAGCGAGACTTGAGCCTGCTCTGCCAGCGAGTGGGCTGTTCGTTACCCCATCAGGGTTGGGCTGCTCTCAGCCTTTAT